GTGTATAAAATATACACTTTATACACTAAATACAGAACTAGAATTCTGCCATCTGACTAGACACTGTTGCCTTACCAAATCTGCACCAGCAGTCTGATAAGGAACTTTATTTAAAAAAAGAAAAACACCACAGACACAATTTACAATATTTTAATTAGTCAATATGGTTACCTCAAGCAATTAAGAAATAAGACGGGATACACGTCTACTTTTCATTTGTTTTTCAAACAACAGTGGTCCTTTCTTAAAGCCCACTTCTCAACACAGCTAATGTAGATTGAGTGTAGGAGAACTCTTTAATATTTAAAAGCAATTTATCTTCTAACAGGCTTCTTATTTCCCTACCACAGTCACCACCAACCAATATGCAATTGCTGTGACCAAGGTAATGGCTTTATTTATCCTGTTTCCACCTGAATGCCTATAAAATGACTGATTCATTTACTAAACAATACCAGATCAATTGGCTTTCATCTAGGCCACAGCACTGATCTTTTCAAGTCCAAATCCAAGATTTATATTCATATAACAATACTGGTACAATACTGTTAACTATAGTTATCAGTTACTAACAACTGTGCACCTATACAAGTGTATTAAAAACAACCATGAAGGAGGTAAGACAAAGAAAACAAAAGCCTGAGTACCACAAGACGAGGTTAAAGTAACTTCTAAAGCCTATACTCTTTGGCAAAATACAGCTGACTCAGGCAGTTTCAGCAAATGGTTATTATAAAAAGGCTAGAAAAGCTGTCAAAATAAGAAAACAGATACTTGTTTCAAAAGACTGTAGTTCAATTAGACAGAGTTTGAAATATGCATTAGTAATATACTTATTTTGCTGACAGCTTTTCTTAATGTGGAACTAAATTACCACACTGTAAGGGGAATGTCGTAATATGTTAGTGGTTCCTTTGGTTTCAAACGTTAGCATCACATTTCCTCCTTCAGGCATTTACAAAACAAGGTTGTATTGATAATGATCTCTAGGTTCTGTTCTTCAGACACCACTAAACGCAATACAAATCCTTCCTATAAAACAACAGAAAACCCACTTTAATCCACAGTTAAAGAGGCAACTCCCACCCTGGCCCCTGTAATCTGGCTTGCCACTGTATGTATGTATAAAGCAAAAAGAGTTCACCCATCTTGACACCATAAGCAATCTACAGGTTACTCTGTGGCAGAAAATTCAGGTCAAAGGCTTTTTAAAATCTGACCAATCACCAAACAATCAGCAAGATCTTCATTAACTAGATCAAGAAACTATTTCTCATAAACTACCATTCCTAGAAAGTCTATGTTATCATTAAAAGCAACTCAGAAGAGTGCATGCAACTCTGGAGCTTATCCAGAGCGACAGTTTCATCAGGGGAGGGAATGATGCTTATTCTAAGACACCTGGAAAAGATAATAAGACAGGGATTGAATGAAATAAACCACTAGGGAAAAAGCAAGCTACAAAATAACAAGTGAGGACTGGAACAATAAAGAAAACAGTAAGAGTTATTCTTGATTACAACGTACAAAGAAACAAACCACTGGCTAGCATTTCTCTGATATTTTTCTGAAAAGCCATCAATCCTTCCATTAATATTCATGCATCATCACAATGCCTCTGTATCCTTACAGAACTTCAAATCCAAGGATTACTCATGTACCGCTCACATCTCCTCTCATCCATATACCTTATTACTTTCATTTCAGTATGAAATGTCTCCAAAACCACGTTGTAATAAATAATACATGAGCAATCAGTCCATAGTGTATTTTTTCTCTCCAGCTAGAGACAGAGAATAGGACTATCCAATGGGACTCTTCTTAACTAGTAAATTATTTATGTACCAAAGTTTCAACGACCTTACCTCATGTGTTATTAGAATGAAAATAATAGCATTCTAAACCTTTCTTTTGTACTAAATTGGAGAAATTACACTAACTGTATTATCTGGCTATATATCTGGTTGGCCAGATTGCTGTCTACCTGCTCCTGCTTACATGGAGAGATGAAATAATTCATTAAACAACAGGTTATGGTTCAATTATAGAATGAAGATTAATTCAAGGAACTTGATCTGCAACTAGTACTTTTCCATTCGCAAATAAGAAATCATAAGTTGACTGTGAATCAGTTATAGGGGTGAGAGAGTAAAAACAAAAAACACCCCATCTACAAAAGTCATATAAACCCTAGATCAGCTGTTAGTCACTTTTTCTTTAAAGTTATTGCTGCTCCTGCACATCTTAAAAGGAAGATATAATATCTCAAGCGACTACTTGCTCAAATGATAAATTAAGTATTCACTGGACATGTATGAATCCACATGTAAAAAAGGAAAGGCAAGTTGTGAAAACTGATAGGCAACAAACTGTGCATTTTGTGTTTTGCAGAACTCCTTTAAGAATTGATTTACAAAATGTTGTTTCTCACACTAAAATCAAAATTGTTGTGCAATTCAAGTAATAAACACAAGTTAAACAGGTCGTGTTTTGTCTTAGAGGACAAACTGACATTAAGATGACATCCTTCTTCAAAGACTGCATACAAAGTACTCAAAAAACTTATTTCCTTATCACAGAATAGTTGAGGCTGGAAGGAACCTCTGGAGGTCATCTTGTCTAACAACCCTGCTCAAGACGGGTCACCTAGAGCAGACTGCCCAGGACCACGTCCAGATTTTTTTGAATATCTTCAAAGATGGAGATTCCATCTGTGAATTCTATTATCTGTGAATAGACAGTATATAATATCAGTCATCCAAGTTCACTGAAAGTAAAAGCAAGAAAGATTTTACTCCAGTAATACCGTATGCCACTCAGCAGAAGCAGTTTTTCAGGTAATATAATCTTTTAGTAGACCACTCCAGCTAGGAAATATATTTTGAAAGTTTTAAATTCTGAAGAACTGTTAGGTGTTCTGCAGACATTAAAAGTTAAAATATTATATTCATGCATTAGATAGAAGCAATGAAAGACTATTTTGTTAATAAATATTGCCAGGTATGCTACAGAACCTGAAGATACAGTAGTAACAAACTAGTTTGTGACTGCTGAGACAGAATCCTTGATTGAAACACATTTCCTTCCTGTTGGTGTGGAAAACAAAATGTGGAGAGAAAACAGAACTGCTACTCAAGGGTCAATGCGTATTATTTTCAGACCGATCTGAGAAGTCATGTTGTTGTAGCAGTTCATCTGTAAATTCCCTTCACCCTCTTGCTATATTCCCTTCTCCTTTATTTCAGTAGAAACAAAAACGGAGATCCTAGTATGACATTTTGTAACCATGCAGACATTTTATGCCCTATAGACTGCACACAATAACACATTTTTATAAACTGGCTTTGGTGTCAGTTGGCTTCTCTCTAAATATACTATAAGAAATGCTTCAGTAATTCAGAAGAAAAGAGTCAATAGACTATGAGACTGAAAGAGGTCTTTCACTTGCTAGGTTAAAAGAACAAATACATTTAATATATAGAACTGATAACATGAGGTGTAATATTGAAGTTAGTTCTCATTTTCTAACAGCCTATGTTATCTAAAAATGTATACAAATGCACAGACTTTAAATAGTGGAACCAACTGGGGTTTCACTATTTCGGGTCTCCCCTGTGTACCTTCTTTAAGTAGGTTCTCAAGCCTTTATATGCCTATTGTACAACAATGACTAAGTAAAATGACAGTGATCCCCCTCTCCCATGCCTCAAAATCATGAAAAAGTAATGAAAAATACTAGCTATTAATAACTGTTGCTTTATACACACACCATCTAGTGTCTAACATAGTACTGTAGAAAAACATCTACAAAATGCAATTCTACAATCTAGTGTCTTTTTTTGAATGTAAAAATAGACTTCAAAATAAACTTTCATATTAGCAATATTCAATTGCTTGTGTAACATACTTTCAACTTGACTATACGTTTATTGTAAAAGCAGTTGTCCATGTACAAAAGAAACTTTATAGTAGCTCAAGCTTTGGATGTTCATTAGTAGTAAATACAAATCTTTGGCCAAAGGCCCAGTTCATCTTTAAAATGAATGTATCAGATGATTATTTTTCCAAGGCAGATAAAGAAAGCAAAGATTCAGTCAAGGTGACAATTACCATCTGGCTAGCTACAGTAATTATGTGCTCCCAATTAGATGTATGTGCAATATTATAACATTAGCATTACAGTATATCTTAATATTGAAAATCACCACATTTGTGTATTACTATAGGAATTAAAGTTATGCATATGACTGCCTGCTTTCAAGTCTGTTAACAGAAAAGATAAAGATCGTGAACAAATATGCGTCAACACCCCCTGTGAGTTAAGCTCCTTTCTACCACCTCTTTATACGTGGATGCTACCATTTACACTCTCGTCTCTCCTCCACACCTTTCTCTTCCTTTTGGGGACTGACTACTTGTTTGAGGGCTTAATGGGAGCACAACTAAGCACTGAATTAAAATCATTTAGACTTGCAATCTCACAAGTACATAACAAGTTATAGGTTGCATACAAGATGCAGAACACTGCTCATCCGGGTGAATATAGAACCAATCATGTGTTGAAAATAGCTAAAGAAAGCACTGGATTACTGAAACTCTGGATTACTCCTGTGAATGCATTTATAAAGCAATAAGAAAACTAAGAACAATGTACTAATTTAGTTCTTTTTATAAGATTTCAATCTTGTAAAATTTAATTTTCAAGTTACTGAAATTCAAAGCAATACAATATGTTTGACTAAACATATTCAGAAAATTCCTTCAAAACAAACTTGTAACATTTTTGCCTTTTGACTTCCATGGGACTATTTCACCCAATGAAAAAAACAGACATAAGCAGAATTTTTGTCACTAATTTAGTTCTTTTTATAAGATTTCAATCCAAAATAAGTTTTCAAACCAAATTTGATGGAAGCAAGATCAGCTACCGTAAAGAAATTAACATCCAACTCTAGTAAGAACACTGTTTTACTTAAAAGACAATATTAAAATACTATTACCTCCAGCAAAGATCTTCTCTTCCAAATCATTCATTTGTTTCTTGTATGCTTTTAAAGCAGCTTCTTTAAATGATGGTCGTATTCTTTTTTTCTTTGGAGTTTCAATAAGCAACTCTGGGACATTCTGATTTTCATCTTCCCTTACTTCTATGATAGCAGCCATGTCACTTTCGACTTCCAATATCTCTTCACTGTCCACACTGTCAAGCTGCGTATCGTATTGCTCCTCTGGTAGTATTGTATATGGAGTTTCATACGAAAGCTGCCCCGGTTCATATTCTTGGACCTGCTCACTAGTTTCACTGCTATTAGTTCTATTTTCTAGTTTAGCAAGGACTTGTTCCATTACTTCTACGTAGTCTGTTTCATTCTCACCAGGTGGTTCAATTAAGTCTTCCTCATACTCTGCTTTGTAGCAATAAGGCTCAGCATAAACATCAGAATCGAGTGTTGTACTTGATTCATTTGCAGTAGACTGAGATAAAGTTCTAAACCTTCCCATGAAAGATGATCCACTGTCTTCATATCCACTTAAACTTTGTGTACTTTTATTCCAGACTACTTCTAAAGCTGACTTGGCACGTTGAAGTGTAGATCCAAATTTAGGAAAGCTGAAAGTCTTATCAGAAAGGTCTATGCTTAATCGGCTATGCCATGATTTAGGGGCTGTTTCTTCCGAGTCATCACTTGGTAGTTCACTCTGACTTCGGTACATCATAGGCAATCTGTTTTGATTCTGATAAGAGGAAATAGAATTTGTTTCCTGATAATCATCGTATTGACCAGTCCACTGACTTTGTGATTCGCTATCAAGGCCTGGACATGATGGAGAAGTACCATCAAGGGTTAAATCATAGCTTTCAGTATCATACTGGAGGTCAGAACTTTGGCACTTTCCAAAATCTGTCTGTTGATCCGAAAGGCTGCTCATGTCATACACAAAAACTTCCTGTGTGGACGAGTCTAGGCCCAAATCTGCTCCTTGTTCCAACTGATTCCAATCTTTCCATGGGGAAAGATCATCATGTAAAGAAAGCTGAGAATCACTATAGAGGCTTTTGTCTCCAGATACACATATTATTCCATTGCTTACTCCACTGTCAACAGTTTCTGTATTCTCTACTTCATTTTGCTCTGGATACTGTTGCATATCTTGGACAAAAGTCTGTTCCTGGGAACTGTCGTACCAGTTTGTAGAATCGTCTTGCCTTCGCTGCCAAAGTTCTCGATCGGAGGAAGACAACAGTGAACTGCCATTTGTTCTGCTAAAATACTGATTTTCTGAAAAATCCTCAGAGTAAGACTGACACAATTTTGAGAAATCTGACTCTGAACGGCTAAGTTTTGGTGTTGCAAAGTCGTTCTGCAAATGCCACAAAGGAGCCATGTCTGAATAATAGGTCTTTGATTGTTTTTCCATGTTGTCAAATTCTGGTGACTGATTGCCATAATTTCTTCTGTGTGAAAAGGTGCTGTTGTCAGCAGTTCTATTAAGGTCTTTAGTATGTGGGGACTCAATACTCCCCTTTGCAGTGCTTGTTTTTACTTGAAGTGCTGATTTAGATATCTTTGCATAACTGTTCTTATTTATATCTGATTCCAAGTCTTTATCACTGTCAGGTGACTCCCAGTCATGCATTTTTGTTTTCGTCTCCACAGTTAAAAGCTTCATATCCATACTCTCATATGTCTGAGAGGAAGGTAGTCCTCTTTCTTTTTTGTCTTTTATGTCATGGGAAAATATATCTGTAGAAATTCCAATGCCAGTTCCCTTAAGTTTATAAGACTTTTTTAAAATCAAATCTCTCTGTTGTGATGACTCAAAGTAAACAAGAATGGGTCTTGGCTTTGCATTTGGACAGTCTCTTTGTTGTCCCAGTCTTTGGGCAAACTCAATTTTAATAGAGCTTTGTGCCTCTGAAAACCCCATTTTATCTATTAATATTTTGTAAACTATGCTTTCAGTTTTTTCAAGCCTCTCTTCAGGCACATTTAGAAACCTCAGACTTGCTTTGTTTCCTGGATGGCCTATCTGCTTAATGTAGTCATGTATATCCCGAGTTTCTCTTCTGGACTGTACAAATCCAGTTCGCAATTGTTCAATTTCATTCTGTACAACTTCAACACTACTAGAAATCTCATCAATTGATTGTTTCAGAGCATTAACATGCCCTCTTAATTCAGAAAGTTCTGTTTCAATTTGACTTATTCCCTGAAGCTCTTTGAAGATCATTTCCATAACATCATGGGTTTGACTAATACAACCTGTTGAACTAAAGCCAGGTTCTAGAGTATTTGATTTCTGGTGACGGCCAGTTCTGTCTAGAGATTTACTTCTTAAGCCCCATGTTTTCTTCCATGTACTTAGTTCTGAGTCTGATGAGACACATTCTTGGCTCTTCTTCCATTTCCTTAGTTTTCTTAAAGCTCCAAGTTTCAGTGTGTGTAAAGTGCGTTCTCCATCTGAACTTCCATCAGATGCTGCAAGGCTGCTTAAGCTTTTTCTGTTCCGTCTCACAGGCATTGTGTGTGATAAGTATTCGTTTTTCTTGCTATTACTTTTTACTTCACTTAATGACTCAGAATATGAACTGTCATTTGAAGACAGATCTTGAACTATATCTTCATTATTGTTGTTTGTTACAAAAATGTGCTTTTGCAGTCCATTGGCTATAGCAACTCTGTAACTGAATGTTGGAGAAAGTGAAAATTCTCTATTACTTTCCTCTTCTTCAGCTGATAAGTTGCGTGCAGATGGACACTTGGCAATCTTTTTAACAGTGCTTTTTAAAGTATTTGAAAATTTTGGATTCTTTGTTTGTCCAATCTGAGTTAAGTCTTGTTCCTTTTTGCTCTGACAACTCTCTTTCCTTTTTGTACTATTTCCCGATTTCTTTGTAAACATTCCTTTGCAAATCTTATGTATGTAAGATGAGATCAGGCTCTTTAAGAGGGCAGAAACCATGGAGTGTAATTTATGTTAAGCTGTTTCCATAAAACACAATTTTTGATCCAGACAAGTATTTGTATCTCCAACAGTGTCATCAGCAAATATTTCATCAGCAGAGACTATAGACACAAACTACTGATGCTCTGGTATCATTAGACAGGAAAGAAAAAATAAAAAAATGTTCACACATCTGCTTGTTCGAAGCCAAATCCTGAAGGGGTTTTGTACATCTTGCCAAATCTCACTCTGTTGCGCATGGCTTCTCGAAGTGTCTAAAAAGGAGGGAAGGACATTACAATGGCTGCCAAACAAACTCATTCAATAACACTGATGTTGTTTTAACTGGGTTACAATGGAAACACAGAGGTGTTAAGTATTTATTTATACTTCGCCTATAATTGTCTGAATAGAATTTTTCTTGAACAATTGAAGCTGAAAGCAGTTCTACGCAAATATCCTTAACATAAACGAATAAGCTACACTTACTTACAGGTGTCTTTGTCCAGTTTAATTGCTCTGACCTTAACTGAGATATTTGGTATTAATGCTGTCTGCTTTCTTTCAGAGTAATGACATTTCAATTGAGATCTATGTGATACACAGCAGTGGTCAAAAAACTGAGAAGGGAACAAGCTATTACTAGCTAGTAAAATAGAAGTAAAAAAGTCTCTCTTGGTTCATCTTTTGTAGCAAGGTAGGATTCTGAGCAACAAATCAGTGTTGTATCCATGAAGTACTGTTCCATTTTGAGACAGAATTATGCAAATGACTATGGCGTGAGAAATAGATGCTTTCTTTTTATACTAGTCTAACATATGTTATGGTAAACCAGGGCTTAAAGTGGGCATACCTTCTTGGTCTCTATTTAAAGACAAAAAAAAAAAACCACCATACCGCACTCTAGAAAATAACAGAAAATCGTAATGACAACTGATGGAACATTCTCGTCCAGGTTACTAAGTTTTACATTTTTTTTTTGGTCACAGAAGAAAAAAAAAAAAAGAAACCAAACAAACAAAAACCAAACCTACACAAAATAAGAGGAAAAGAGAAATGAATAAGATTTACAAGTCTCAGGACAAAAAACAGGTGTCATTACAGCAGGAAAGCAACTTGATCTAAACCATGGAAGAGTAAGAAAAGATTTTGTGAGTTATCTGGAAGCTTCTATTCCATAAAACAAAAGCTTGTACTCCGTAGAAACGTAGTCAATGCATTTTAAACATATAAATGTATTTTTCGGTACAGCATGTAATTCACTTCCCAGTCTCATAGCTGCAGAATAAAGACAAGACAAATAGCTCAAAAATCCAACAAAAAACTGTCTTAAAATGGCCATTTCCTTTTCTAAACCAGCTAAAAATTCTTTGGCACAATAAGAAGTTTATTTAGATAGAGGGTATGTGAAGGGTTAAAATTTGCTCTGTGGTGTCTTAAGAGGTGTAAAGGATATGAACTGTCCTACTCCTCTGCAAACAGCATGGCACTATGTGAAACATGACGGTCCACTCACACATGTCAAAATCTGGTCTTTTTATAACAGTTTGTCTTCACTGACCTTACTATTATACTTATGTTACAGTCCATAAACACCAACTCCTGATTCATACTGCAGTGGCACTATGCTGAATAGAGCCCAAGCAAAGCTGGCAAAAGCCTGGTTGGCTTCTAGATTCCTGGAACAAAGGATGAAAACAGACGTTGCTTTTCCAGTTATAACAAATTTGGGATGCAGCCCAAGAGCAAGCAGAACAAGATTAGGCAACATTCTTCACCCGTCCCAAAGCTGCTGCCTGTTATTTTTTAAAAGGTGAAATATTTGTGGAACATGAATCCCATTTTTAACAAATATGCATCAGCATAGCTCTTGTGATTTCTTTTTCTTCCACGCTTATGTCTGATGTCGGAGTATTAAGAGTGAATTAAGAGCATGCAATGTTTGGAAGCAAAAGAACACTCAATGAGACTGCATGGAATTTTCAAGGGATGCAAATGGCATCTCTCAGAATATTACGCAGCTCTCACTAGAGCCAAGGCTGCCTTGTTTTCTAATATTATTAGTAGAGGAAGGAACCATCCTGGGACACTTTTCAATATCAAAGGCATGTTTCTAGATGTAGAAACACTTGTTGACCATTCACCTCTTACACTGAATGTTTGTAACCATTTATTGAATAAGATCTGAAGTGTGACTGCCTGCCTCTTCTGTCCACACAACCACAGCTTTTTAAGTGCCTTCTTATATAAACTTCACTCAGATGATTTGGACATTCTTCTCATTGAAGAGACTTCAACAACACATAAACAAGCTAGAACACTTGTTTACGGGCTCAGGCTACAAAATATCAAGAAATAATGTAAGTTATCATTGGAATCTGGAACATTTCCATTTATTTAAAATAAGGTTTAATTCTTTTCTGTAGAAGCATCTTGACTTCATAGCCAGCCATGTACATGTTTTATCCAATGCCTAACCTATGCTTTTTATCAGAGGTAACTGAAAGTGTTATAAAGAGCTGCAAATTCAGTACTCAATTTATTCAAACCCAGTTTCTGACAATTAAAAGTTGTGCTGTTACAAACACACAGAGATCTGCTAAATGGAGCAGATTTATGTTCTCTCATGCGAGTTCCATTCCATCTCAGGGATATTAGTCACATGATCTGTTCATCAGTTTATAGCCTACCATTGCTCTGTCAAATACTCATTTTCTAAATTTGTGTACCTCCACATAGAATCAAGCTTGATTCATCATAGGTCTCATTCATTATTTTTTTTGTAAAGATTTGGATAGGAATGTTCTTGCAATTTTAAATCAGTGTAGGTTAAAACTCTAGGAAATAGGGAACAATCTTTTGAGAAGCACATAGGACTAGGTCAATTATTTGAATGAGCTGTAAGTTGTCATTCAGTGATTTTCTGGTTTTGTCCAGATGTCTCAAACCATCATGGTCCCTTTTTTTTTATTTTCACTTTGCTTGTTTATTGACTTAAATCAACTTATATAATAGTTGAGCATAGATGGGTTAACCCCTTCGAACCAAAAGGAATCAAGTTGAAATTTTTACAGCAGTACAAGTATAGATCTCATGCTAGATGGTTATAGAGGAGGAAACTGGAAAGTGTTATGGATTGTGAGATTAGAAATTGTTAATGGTTCCTTCTGTAAAGAAAGGACACAATGATGCTTCCTTCAACTTTTTACCCTTAGCAAGTCTGAATATAGACTTTTGTCAATCAACATGATGGTGAACATTTCAAGGATACTGTTGACAACAACGCATTGTCAGAATAAAACTTGTCAGTTGGAAGCATCACATATAAAGAATCTTATTCCCAAATCTAAAACTAATGTGTCAGGTAGAAGCAGAGTGGAATGGGCCAGGTTAAGAATGATATATTTTTAAATAATGGAAGCAGTGTATTTTAGTTACATGTCTGAACACTAGATTCTCATGGATTCATGATATATTTTTTTCCTTTTTATCAAATCCTGTCCTCTATTTTTATAAAGAAAAAAATTGAATCATCTTCAACAAATAATTTAAAAACAATATTTAGATCACTGCTGACCTTCAGTTCAGATCCCAGTAAATTAAGCTGTAGAGTAGCAGCCCTTTCCCTTCAGAGGTAGTTTTGTGGATGCAGACTGTCCCTTAAAAAAAGCTAGAAACAGGCATAACCATAGCCCAGCTTAAACTTTACGCTACTAATTAACTACAAGGGGCCTGTGTGTATTGGAAGGGGACAGGAAAAAGATAAGACTGCACTTCAGTCTTCCTCACAACACCAAGACAGTAGGGGAAAACAAAACACATCCAAAAAATCTTTTTCAGCAGCAATAGCACTCTGCATTACTTCCAACATAGTCACTACTGCCTATAGGCAGCAACATCTATTTGTGATATGCAAAATGCTTCACAGAAATGAATTAATCACACATGACCAAAAAATTGTAAACAATCCACTTTGCAGCCACAGAAACCGAGGCTAAGAGAAATTCTCTTACTATCAGGAACATAAGAAATTAATAACAGAATAATTAAAATTCAGATCTACAGATTTCTCAGGTATAGTCTTTTACTAGTCTTATGGTCACCTGGGAATAAGGTTATCCTGACATAACTGTACTTACCATTAGCGTACGTGTGTAGGGTGAAACCTACACTAGCTTTCTTTAGACAAGTATAACAGTGTATATTCCAGATTGCTTCATTAGTTTACTATGCCAGTAGCGTTATACTGACAATCACCTCAGATAACCTAATTCAGAAGAACTTCATTTGGAACATTATCTGCTCCTTTATATTCTTAAATTGTCCTTTGATTCTCAAATACTGGCATTTTAAAATCTGTGTTATTGGTGAGTTTCTCAAGATAAAGTGATGCTCATCTTAGTACTGCACATGCTGACCTGCAGACCCTGGCAAAGACAGGGACAACAGCAGGAAAGTAGTTCTGCTTTCTCTTTCGGATAATTACTCTCTGTTCCAGGAATTCCTCAGGTTTTCACCCGCAGAGCTTTCCCCTATCCTATTACCCCCTCCAACATTCACATGAGAGCATGGAGTGCTATCAGCACTTGCTCCTTTTGGCTAGAAAGCTATTCCTATTGTACGTCAGTATAATCTGGAAAGTTCACTATACCTGCTTAATTATCTGGTGATACTTCTTTATGGATCCTGCTATGTATCTAACCACCATTAAACAAGTTGCCTTTCTATTTATGGGGAATGTTACCAATACAACTAACCACCAAATTGCTGTTTCAAACCCCACTCTAAGGAGACTACAATCTGTTTGGTTTTTTTAACCCACAAGGCCTACTGTTGTCCTGAAAAGCTTGCACATACGCTCATCAAGTACACTATGGAATCCAATCTAAATATTTAACAGTCATACTGCAAGACTGGTCATTCATGGCTGTTACTTATCTGTTTCTTTCAGCATACAACTTATTCAAGTTTAAGGATAAGATGGAAGTAGGACATACTTAAAACTGACTTTGGGTCACAGTGATTTAAAACAGTGTCTGAAACAGAAACCATATATAAAACTTTATATTAGTGAATTAACTCAGTGGTTTAACAGTTATTTGCAATTAAACTACTTTGTAATATATAGAAGCATATTGTCTTCAGGACAGCTTAGAAGAAA